TAAGTTCAGGTTACCATGATACCGTTTTCACTGTACGAGAGCTAAAAGCAGTTTTTTGTGGTGAAAAAGTTTAATGAGAATTTAACTTGTGCATGAATCGAAAGACCATTGTTCGGAGTATAAAGTTTGTTCGAAAGACTACTGTTCTATTGTAAATTTAAATTACTAACTCACCAGTTTTACTGTTCGGCAAAAGGCTTAAAAAATTCATAGTTCCACTAAAACTCCAGTGGGAAGTCTAAAACTTACAGACTAGAGGTAGTTTGATGCGGTCTACAAAAAATGTTTACTCAGACAACCTTGTTGAACTACTTTAATTGTCCTGCGACCAATTGACTTAGCATCACTTGCTAAAGTAAAACTTGATTAACTCTATTCTGTGACGTTTTATCTGCAAATGCTAGTACCTTTGCAGAGATGGATGAGTACGAGTATACTCGAGTACAAAATTTTCAGTATTCGTACTCGTACTCGGGACTTCTTTTTACGAGTACTTAAAAATGTACTCGAGTATTTTCGAGTACTTGAAATTTGTTAACATACAATAACCTATAATTAAAATAACTTTTTTCATGATTATTGTCTTCTTTTAAAAATTTTCGTACTCGAGTATTTTCTAAAAAGCACTCGAGTATCGAGTATTTTCTAAAAAGCACTCGAGTACTACTCGAGTACTTCTTAGAAAATACTCGTACTCATACTCGACGCCCAGTATTCGTACTCATACTCGAAAATCTGTGTACTCGCCCATCTCTGTACTTTTGATATGACCTAAATACAATAGAACTTCCTGCTTTTCTAATTTCTTATGACTTTTCTATTCCAAAACTTTTTCTATCGGCGCAGGCTAAAATCAGTTTGTATTTTTACTATCGGGGGCGACGGGGAGCTCCTAAAAATTTCGACGACTTCGGCAGCGGCGTGGCGCACGGGTCTGGGAATGATTACGGACGAGAATCTGTAAAGTGTTTGTCACTATTATCATGAATTTAAATATCTGTTACCATTTACCACCTATTACTAGGAATTAAAATTTCTTTTTTAGGATCATCATTATCATGATAATGACAGACTGCACAGATGCACAATACTTAGTTGAAATATTAATGGTTATTGTTTAATTTGTGTTAAGTGAATCTGAGTTTTCGTTACACGCCTCGAGTTAGATTATGAACCTTTTATCCCAAAGAAAAGTAATAAATTAAATAAAAAATATTTTCGTGTACACGAAGGACGGGGACCGGTTTCTACTAGAAAATGGCCCAATGTGATTTTGAGTAAAAATGACCAGAAATACTTCCTTTTTCACTGCCTAAAGCTTTTGACTTGGAAAAATTGCTCCTGATCTCCTTGAAGCGTTTATTTCTTATAATTTTTCGCCACCAGTTCAATGAAAGTCATTCACTTTGTTTCTCAAGTTTTTCGTACGATTTCAAAGACTTTGACCAAAAAGTTCATGCATAGAAAAATAGAGAATTTTCCGCGCTTCAAAATGTTAACATACTATAGCTTATTTTGTAGTTCTCTCAATTCTGCATTTTTCTAAATACAAACTATTCTTAATTTCTATTTGTGAAAGAAACTGTAATCAATCATTTTTTATATATCACTATGGATAAAAATCAAGATATCTACCCAGTATTTAGCCAATAAATTTATGCGCGCAAACTTTTAAAAACAAAAAAATATTATAGGTCCATTTCGAAGCCCAGAAAATTCTCCATCTTCCGATATATAAAATATTCCGGTTCTGAGCGGATGTGTGGAAGAAATATTCTTGTAAAGCCTTAAGATAAGTGAAAATCATGATATCTGTCGAGTATTTCGACAATTGTTCTACGTGGGCATATGTTTGAGAAGTTTGTCAATAGCTCGTTTTGAAGCGCGGAAAATTCTCTATTTTTCTATGCATGGGCTTTTTGGTGAAAGTCTTTGAAATCGTTTCTATATTTTTGTCCAGTAATGCAAGTGAAAATGGATTTTGCTCCGAAACTCTGTATCGCTTTTCGTTCAAAAGTTATTTAAAAAATAACGAAGATTACTGCTTTTTTGGACAGATACTCATTGAACTTTTTTAACCATATCTTGTGCATACTAAATCAAACTAGAAGATAATTCTTTCGGTACTGTCCCACACTTTACGTGAAGGTCTGCCGAAAAAATCGCGATATTTTATAGGCTGCACGACGCAATTCATACCTAATTATCCTAGAAATTATTTTTTGAATAACTTTTAAACGAAAAGCGATAGAGAGTTTAGGAGTTGAAAACTTAATTATGCCCATTTACGTTAAGGAAACACAGTTTCTATGAGTAAATTCGTTAGAAATAATTCAACACAATCATAATCAGGCATCAGTCCGTAGAAATATAAGAGTAATTGCTTGATAGAACGCAATTTTGTTGATGCTGATCCGTGATCATAAACTTTCAATATTAGATGTTCTCTCGCCATCGATAAATCACACAGAATCCAAGTAGCAATTGATCAGCAATAAAACATTCAAAAATCTTTCTAAAGATATCGTCAGTAGTTGAATACAATATGGGTTGAGTTTTCTGTTAATTACGCAGCCTTAAGCACAGTAATTAAGCATATCTCTAAATGCTTGTTCTCCTCACAAAATAGTTTTTCGCATAGAGTACTGAAACATCTGTACAGGTCATTTATGGATATTTTCAACTGTTTGAATAGATCACAATACAACGGAAAATCCGAGGACAGTGAACATGTAATATTCAATGATTCTAGATTAGAGTAAAATTTAATGTAATTGCTGTGAAAAAGTTTGTTTATTTGATACGAATTTGATAGTGTCAATGCTCGAGAGTAGACAAATAAATCTGTTGTTCTTTCAATCACCATTTTGTTTAACATTGTTCTTGCATATATATGAATAAATACTTGCACTATAGAACATTGAAAATTTTGAAAGTGAACCTCAAACAGTGTGTTTGAATGTATGGTTGCTCATGCACTTTCAACAGCTCTGGTACTGTATGCATAATACCGTAGAGCTTATACTGTAGTGACACAGTAGAAAAAAACAAAAATATAAAGTAAAAAATAAAGTTTAAGATTTTCTTTCAAATTCCCAAATCTGTTAATGAAGATTCTGATTATTACATATTAAATTAATCATTTCAGAATTCTTGAAATATCGTGACAAGATCTGCTCAAGATTTATCACGACAGATTCTAATACAAAACTTGTGGAAAATCTGCAGCATTGCCTTCCATTCAGAAACTTGACAGATTTCGATAAATCTGCACAAGTTCTTGAAAGAACTGTGGCGAAACTTGAGAAATCTTTAAAAATTTATCAAGATCTGCATTCAAGATTTTTCTCCTGGACAAGTAGAGTGCAAATCAATATAAAAATCTTGGTTGATAAAATTTCAGATTAAGATCTGGTTATTATTTAATCTTAAAACAATTATGTGTCCTTTTTAGGACATAACTTCTTCACATCAACCTTCGTTGTTTAGAAGAAAAGAAGTTTATCAATCATCATCAACAACTATTATATATTATTATTATCATAAAAAGGAAAAAACACAAAAAGACTATTAACATCTCATCATTATTGTACATTAGTTTTTCTCTAAAATATTTTATTGCAATAATAATTTGCTGTTGATGTGTAAAACCGAACTTGAGATTATCTTTGTTGGAACAAGTCAGACACGGCTAACGAGCCATTACACCCCACCCACCCCGCGATATGAATCTGTCTCGGTAACTACTGTCTGTAAATTAAAGGGACGCTCCACCATTTGATAATATATAAAAGTTGGTCTCCTCAGATGTATATTCAAAATGCTACAGCAAATATTCGAGATTAATTTAAAGACATAGCATGTTCAAGTATTTTTGGTCAATCCACATGATTCTTGTATGCCTATTTTCACATAATTGCTATTGTCATCTATATATTCCGGAAACATAATTTTGCTTTGACAACATGTTTCACCGTCAAGCGAATCATTTATAGCCCAAAGGAGATAAAGTAGTAAAAAGCATAACAATCACCTGCACATTCATAATACCAAATTATTCCTTTTTTCAGTTCATGAGGAAGTAATTCTGAGAATTTGCAAATATTTTCGTCAAACTATCGAACGGATGAGTTGTAAAGTTCTATCCGTCTCGTTCGCCAGTTTAGACGTCAGATTAATCCAATAGTTGAGCGCACCACGTTCTTTCTCTGGAAATTGTAGTAGTAATTGATATTCACGTTTGAGAGTGTCAGTATCATCGGACTTATATTTCATTAAAATCTCAATTGATTTAAGGCAACAAGAACGGGCTGAATTGATCGAATACGTATTCGTTGTTTTATATCTGTACTCTAGAATCTGATACATGTTTAAAATTCTATTCCAGTATTTATCAAGATCTAATTTAGTATAATGAAAAGTTCAAATTGTTCAAGTTCTTTTTGAGAATAATTATAAGATTTGTTTTTATATCGTGGTGCACATATTAGTGCGTTTATGACAGCTCTACTCCACTTATCTGATTCATTTAATATTACATTACCATGGTGGTTTATATTCTCCTTTAATTTTATGAACGCAAGCCATATGAAAATATCGTCAATACGTAGAATGGCGGTTGAGTGGAGAATGACCGTCAATTAATATAGCTTTCACAAAGTATTGCAATGATAGATCAAAGTTGCACTTTTCATAATAATAAAATGTTCCTAGACAATCATATAAGGCAATTATTGTATGAGGATAATCAATTGAATAATTTCCATATCGATATCTTTGTAGTGACCTTGGATCGAACATGTACACCGAAAGAAGGTGGCGCATCACCTTCGACACTGAATCCTTACAAAAACAAATTTCTGTTGTATTTTTTGTAGGAGAAAGTTCTTTTACTAAAATTGTGTAAAGTTCACGAAACGTCTCTCCATAAACGTTCAGTTTTAAAAATGCATTATTAATTTCTTTTTGTAATAAACAATCCAATTCGATTAATCTCATATTTATGGAACAATATTCAATATATAAATAAATGCATTAGGAAAAAAATCAGATTTGTATAATTCTAACCAAACATACCACATCCGATCATCTTCATCGTCAATAATTGAGGTACTGCGAAATACTATCCCAGCTGCGAAAAATATTTCTTCTTCATCTTCGTTGTAACTCAGTTTTACTATGTCAGCAAAACGTTTAGTTTTCCAAGCATTTTTATCAATTACTATTTTGAACATTACGCACTGCAGGTCGTTAGTCAATGCGGCACCTCCTCTGGCAAATATTTTAGCTAATTCATAGTTTTGTGTCGCTGATATAAAACTATTAGCACGAATTAATTTCTTTTCTTGCAATGCTTCAAGTTCTATATTTGAAATAAGTTGACCACGAAAACACACGAGATGATCCTGTTTCTGTAATGTCGATGTTTTCTTAATTTCATTAAATAAATCAACAATAAAAAAATGAAGTAAATTTATTACATTGATATTCCGATGACGAAATGCTTTATTTATAAGACGAAATAAAAAACCTTCTCTTGTATACCAGTGAATCGCTGTTTTTGACGTATAATACTCCTCAAATTCATCAAGAAATTTAAGGATTGTTTGTTTTCCCTGATAGTATATTCTACATTCATTACTGAAGCGTTGTTTATCGTTTTGATTAGAAGGAATCATTACTAGGTTGTCAAGAACGATAGGAAATGACATATAAAGTAAATAGTCGCAGCTTTTTTCGTCTGTCAGCTTTTCTACTGTTTCCAACTTTTCTCGTCTAATGAGCGACCGGATATCTTTGAGTAGTTCAGTAAATAAATTATTAATGTTTTCATAGACAGGTCGTATCTAAACAGATGAACAGTCAGATATCCATTCTTACATTGTTGAGCATATCTTACGGACATACCTTTTTATAATCATTTGTTGTTATACATCATAAATGTTGTTGTGGTCATCGTTAGTGATTTATAGACAAAAATGGAACTAATTTGTCTATAATCATGTATACTTAAAATTAGTTGCTGATTCTCATCGTTAGTCACTGAAGTAACGAAGAACATTTTTTCAAACCGTATTTGTCTAATATATTCTTGACATTGTTCAACATTATCAAATGCTTGAAGATACTGAGGAGGGAGGGGAGGGCGGTGCTGCGAGTGAGCCACTAGCGTAAGTCTGAAGGTCGAAGTCATATGTGTAACGGAAAAATGTGTGACCAGACTAGGATTCGAACATAAGACCTTGACATTCCGTGTCTATGCTCTGGTTGACATCTCTATCCGTCACAATATGTAAAGTGAGAAGTTTAATAATCTTTTAGACTTATATTATTCAACTTCTCACTTTACATATGACTTCGACCTTCAGACTTACGCTAGTGGCTCACTCTCAGCACCGCCCTCCCCCCAACCACCAATAGTCAGCTCCCATGCAGGGTAAACTTCAGAACTAATTCAAGATCAGTCTGAAAGTCTAACTCACATGTGAAATGAAAAGTCTGAATATCTCTCTCGTTTGTTAGACTTATCAGAATTCTGAGTGAATCTTCGACCTTTACATGGATGACGCTCTGCATCGACGAAAATCCGAAACTTTCGCATACAAAAACATATAAGAATACGCGCCAGAATGGAAATAGATACATTCTGTATCCGTACTATGATAGCATTCAGTACCAATTTTGGGAAAAGTATCTAAGAAGAAAAGAGCGATCCTAGAGTAACAAATGTATTAGCATTCAATTGTGGTTCATACTGACAATTTGTGAAAGAACTTACATAGGTCTGAGGTACTCGATTATAAAGCCCCATGAGCTAAAAATCGCTTCATTTTTGTCGATTAATCGCGATGGTTGAAAAAATCGACGCTCAATCGCGATTCAGGAAAAAATGGTCATTTAATCGCGATTAAGTGATAATTTTTTCGTGCATCGCGATTAATCGATGACTTTGTCAACCATCGCGATTAATCACGAAAATCATCAATTAATTGCGATTAATTGTTGATTTTAAGTGATTAAATGGTTGTTGTTATTCACCGTTTTCTTTTGCAATAAAGTTTATATATAAGAAACACGATTTCAGCGAAAAATACACTCATATTCAGATCATCTTTTTATTTTAGAATACAACGGAGTTGTCAAGAGTCTTCTCTATCGTTCCTGACAGCTTTAAACCGAGAAGCCCACTGAACAGCTGGTATGTGGGCAATGTTTAAAGCTGACTCGTCGGCAAGACTCCGGTGCTAAGACCATTGCTGTGTGACGCACATGTCATTATACGTAATAAACAATGAAAAAACAGAAAAAAATATGTATTTCCTAAGATGGGTTCGAACCGAGTACCTAGAAAAAAATCGTCAATTAATTGCGATTAATCGCTAAAATCGCCTAAAAATCACCAAAAAATCGGCAATTAATCGCGATTAAGCGCACGATTAATCATATGATTTTTCACGAATAATTGCCGATTTTTATGCGATTTTTAGTACATGGGGCATCACAAAACTGACAAAAAGCTAGAACTATGCGCAATTCATAACTCATGGAGTTAAAATCTACAACAAAGGTGTAAATTTCATAAAATAGGATTAGAGATCTAAAAGTCTGTGATTTCTTGGTTTCTAGATTTGTTGATTTCTAGATTTCTGCCTCATTTTTGCCGAAATGTACAACGAGACTTGAATTTCACATTTTGCTGCAAAAGCAAACTGGACATATTAAGCGTGCAAGTAAAATTAAAAATCGCAAATTAATTGTCGCAGATGATTGTGTCGCAGAATATGTCCCAATATGTGACACATGCGATACATTATCTTGTAGTGTGCGGATGTATTTTGAAAACAGTCAAAAACGGCTCGTTTTATTGATGTTGCTCCTTTATCACCGCTGTATTCTATGTATTACTAACTGAAGTACCCGGCGTTGCCCGGGAAAATTCAATATTGCACGCTTGACATACTGGAAAACGATGGTCTTATGGTTTTCTATAAGTTACCGGTCTTGAATGTTACAATATGCGCTCGGATCTTTTCCCCTTTTCAACTTCTTCTTAAAAAAAAAGTAAAATGCTCACAACTGTTGATCAAACGATCGTGTGGAGTTGGTGAACGTCTCATTTTGAAGCCAAATCTTTTCTTAACACCTCAGCTTATCCTAAGATGAATTTTCTAATATTCTAAAGGGGAAAAGTACTGAAACTGGAAAATTCAGTTTTTGAGATCCTTTCAGAAAACTTCCTTAAAAACTACCAAAAACCTTTTTGAATTTTGACAAAAGAAGTAGAGATTCTGAAACTAGACACCATTAGCTATCCAACCATATGCCTACTGAAATTTTCAAGTGTTTAGCAGATTTACAAATTTTTAGGGTGTGGGGGAACCTTAATTTGTAGACGTTGATCATATATAAATGTTGGATTTACTATATATTTAAATGCCAAAAGCCGCAGCATATATATATTACAATTGTGAATATAAGATTTATTTCACAAATAATAAGGCCTTCAATGTAGTCTTGAATATATATCGTTGTGCGTTTGTTGTCGTTGCAACACAATATGCTGAAATTGAATTTTCTTCATTTACAGAAACTGCACAAAATAGTCCTATGGAAGGGTTTGAATGGAATAAGGGCGTTTGCTTTAATAAGCTGCCAGATATTATACTCCACTTTCAAATCTATCAGGCCACTTCTATATTAGTTATCTTTAAAATAAAATACTTTTTCGCTATGAATTAGCCAAGTTTGAACTAATCTGCTTTGGTCGACAGGACTTTTTCTTTTGTGTCAAGGCAAGAAAAGATTATCTCTCTGATAAATTCAGTAACAACTGCCGGTTTTGGCACATTGCTTTCTCTTGTTCTTACCAAGCTGCATCGACTCTCAAATTTAAGAGTTTGCAAAGACAACAGGTTGTAAATTTTGTCGCTTCTTTTCATGTAGAGCGTATGACACGACAAATGCGACGACGCTCTTCATTACATAAAGGAAGCGACATTTCTTCAGACGAGAATAGAGGATAGCAAAGTAAGAGGTCCTTTGTGGTTATGCAAGTAAAAAACGATTGTTTCAAAGTTGTTCTGTTTGATTAAAACTATCCATAAGTTAAGCATAACGTGCAAGCCAATATAAGTAGTGAATGATTTAATGTCTGTTTTTTAATTTTTTTTGACTTTTGATCGCGTTACAGTGTAAATAAATAAGAAAAAGGCGGTGGTATGCTCGTTCCTTCTGCTCTATAAACGAGAATAACAAAAGAACGAAGAGAAAAAAAATCATTTTTAAGGGCTGTAACCAAAAAGATAGTATTTTCTTATCTGCTTCTTTGAGTGTTTGTCAAAAAGACCTTATTTCTGCTTTCAAGCATGTTCTGATACATTTTCTCTTTTCATTTTTGTATGAGTGAAAACGTATAGCCTTCATAATACCTGCACTTTTTCAAAAATATATTCTTCCGTGTCTATGCATCTCAATACTCAAACGAGATGCTTATGAAAAAATAGTGCCAATATACTGGAAACACTTTATTCGCAGCTGTCAAAAAAGAAATAATGTACCATTGTGCAACATCTGGTGTTTGAATACGATTTTGTTCGAGAATGACAATTGTGCTAAATGTAACTTGATATTGTACAGTACCTTAAGTTCAAAACTAAATTAATATTTTTTGTTGTTGAATAGTCTCTTGCTTATAGTTTGGATAAGCTGTATTCTACTTAACAGAAAACAAAAACAGTTTTTGCTATGTTCCCTTGTTTGTTGGTAGTGGAGAAGTTGACACCAGAATTCTTTCCTGTTTTCTCCACTACGGTGCTTTATCCAGTTCTGTTCCACCTTTTCACTAACGAAATCCTGTGTGTTTTGTAGCCTGATAGCCTAGTCTTTTTGTACCTTATTTCGGAATTTTTTTTTGTTTGACCGTGGAAGCTGTAATAAGTAATGAATTGTTCCTACTTAAGTGAACCGAGATCAAGCAAATTCTAGTTGCATTTCTGCTCATTAGAGCATAAATAAAAGTCGAAAAATATAACGCTAGTATGACCTTATAATCATCGTATCATACACCAACACACTTGACAATATATTAAACATTTTGAGGGCTAAGTAAGAAGATGCATTTAGTACTGATTTATCGGATGTCTTCTCACTTGTTTCCATCCCGAATCCTATAAGATAGTACACCAATTGAAGGATTACTCCTTTATCTGTGTATACTGTCCCGTTAAATTATAGTCGTATTTGATTACTAAATAGATAAACATAAATATATCTATGAGCGTCGGTGCATTAAAAAATACACTTTTCAATAAAAATAGAGTATATAGTAATAATAATACGAATAATCATAACAAAATGTATATGGGCATGATTGGCATCTGGATGAAAAAAGAAAAAAGAGGAAAAAATCGCATGCCGTTGTCAACAATCATTTCTAATATAGAGTATATTTCGATTGAAAGAATAAGAAAAAAACAAGTTGCAAAAAAAAAGACACTCAACTAAAAAAGCTCGTACATTTTTGCATTTTCTTTTGTGTGCATGCCGTCTAACATTCTTTGTGTTGTTTTTTTCTCTTTATTGCAGAGATTTTAGACAGATTTGATGCTTTCTTCTTAATTTTTTTCTTACATACTTACCTTTTTCTATCTACTCTCAACACGCACACATTAGGACAGAGAACGAGTAGAAAGAAAAGAAGAAAAAAAATGAAAATAGCAAAAGAAAATTCATCATCATCGTTGGGAACACATCAATTTTACTCAAATAACGCACAACTACTCACGTCGCCACGATATTTTTCTTCCTGCTCGTCGTCTTCAACATCTTGTTCTCCTCCGACTACGTCAAATCAAGCATTTTCTTCTGAAACAATTTCCTTCTCCTGTAGTCAACAACAAAAACAACAAACTTATTGCAATAATCAACAAGACTATACTCATCTAGGTTCTGACAAATACTATGATGAAGAACAGTCACCATTATTATTACCCCATGCCAATGTATCAGCCACGTGCGATAACTTTCTAACATCTCATATCAGTTACGATTTTCATGATCGTCCAACTTACTTTTCATTAGATCATTCAATTATTCATACAGAAAAAGAATCATTTTATTCCTTACAACCACAAGAAGTTGAATATGATTACGCCTATTTATCATCAACCGTCGTACCGCATGTTCCATCAACAGTACCTTGTTCTCCGCCACCCGATTCATTAGAAACACCGATTTATACTGAACTTGGCCAACATAACTCATCATCACATGAAAAATATATTCTATACAGTAATTATCCCCAGGAAATATTTTATCAACAATTACCAACCGTTGAATTAACAAGTTCAAAAGTTGAACAATCAGTGAAAAAATTAACAAAAAAAATGACAACGCCTACGATATTAACACCACCCGCATTGCCTAAGAAAAACGTCTATGCTCGTCTCGATTGTCCACAATTTGGCACCTATGACATATGTCAAGAAAAAACAGTTATCGGAAGACAAAATAATCGCCGGCAAATTGATATAAATATGGGTGTGTGTCAGATTCGGCGTTATCAAGAAAAAATAAATGTAGAATTTTTTCTATCTTCCTTTTAAGGTACGTCATCGGTGGTATCACGAGTACATTTCGAAATATGCCTTCTTGATAATGAATTTCAACTAAAATGTATAAGTAAAAATGGTATATTTATTAATACAAATTATACAAAAATGGGAGCTACCTCAGTTCTACCGAAACAGTACGTAATTCATCTTCTTTTGTCCTATTGTACAAGATAATCAAGGACTTATGTATCAACATGAAGAAGAAGAAAAAGTTCATGCACAATCGTGGGAAAGTGCTTTTTTGTATTCAGTATACTCGATAACTTCGAAGATTTTCTATCCTTGGCGAAGGATACTGCCAAAAGTTTAAGGAAAATTTCGAAACTAATAGTATTTTCTCATAAAAACTTTTTTTTGCCATTTGTTCGACAAAGTTTCCTAAATTTTTGACAATACCCGTTATCGAGTGTGTTGAATACGAAAAAGCGCTTTTCCGCGACTCTGCATAAGCTCTATTTTTCTGTTGATGATATGTTGAAAGTTTTTGTTTGTGTTCAGATGTAGTTTACGTTTTCCAAGTACGACAATTTGCATTTCATTTTCATCGTTCTTAAACAATCGTCCAGATATCTCTCGACATGGATCAACAGACATTCAACGATTACCAAATCCATCAACGTCCACGACAAACACTTTACAGTCCACAATTTCAATATTACAGCAAAAAACACCCCCACCCCCGCCACCTCTACTAACCCAGTCAATTCTTCAAACAATCTCCACCCTACCACAGTTACAACAGACAATAAATAATCAACGTAACGGCCAAAATTTTATTAAAAATAATCACATGAATGGTAGTACAACGCCGCTTGCAATCAACGTTTCCTCTGCTAGCGAAATGAACGGTTTGAAACTACCGGGTATCGAAGTATTTCATAGTCCCCCGCATCCTATATCTCCCGTAAATCGTCTTAGGTTTGTGCTTGCTTTTTTCTGAATTGAAATCTATGTCAGTCATGAATTGCGTTTATTTAGTTCGGTTAACTCATGTTCAGTGAGTCCGGCAAGCAACATGTACAATGATCATAATGACAATTTTACTTTAGGGCGAATGTTTAGGTAAGAATTCGAAGAATGAAATTATTATGGCTTAGTTCAACATTTTTCTATTTTAGTTCGGATATGCTGACACCGGACACGCCAACAATTCATCGTTTATCACTAAGTGATTATCCTGCTGATTCGGACAAGAACTCTTCCGCAAAACCGTACGTTAAACCACAACGTTGTTTCTTATTATTTCATATTTTATCTAATTGTAGACCATTTTCTTACGCACAATTAATCGTACAAGCCATAGCTTCTGCAGAAGACCGACAAATGACATTGAGTCAAATATATACGTATATATCAGCGAAATATCCATATTACGAGTCAAATAATCGTGGTTGGCAGGTAACGAAAAATTGTGTCTGTTTACCTTTTTATTCAAACACTTTCTTTCTCTAGAACTCTATTCGACATAATCTATCATTAAATCGTTATTTTATACGTATGGCACGCAAACAAGATGATCCGGGTAAAGGTTCATTTTGGCGTCTAGATCCCACGTGCGAAGACAAATTAATTGAGCAAGCGTTTCGTCATCGAAAACAACGTGGACTCAGTGGCGGAAGAAGCTTTGGTGATAGCACCTGGTAAATATAGAGGAGTGATGCAGTCTCTGCATTTTATATTTCTATTTGTTTTTTGTAGTTCTGATCCACAATCTCCAACACCTTTTGATCAATCTGATTACCTCTTGTCTGATACAAATAATAATATGACAACAAGTCGTCCAACAACGCCGTTTTCTCCATTCGATGGTATTTCACCTCCTCGAGACAAAAATAATAGCAA